AAAATTGTCTAATTTGTATATGTTGATGGGTTTAGAGTACTTTTCTATGAATATATACATGTAGGTCAGAGCTTCTTAACCTGTAATCCATAGTTTTTAAGAATTTCTAGGGGATTTCATGGAGGAAGTTCACAACTGGAGCTACAAGAGTAATTAATTGTCTAGAACTGTGAAATTGTGTGTGCAAATGCATGAGTGTGTGTCTGGCTGCATGTGTGTGTGTCTGGCTGCATGCGTGTGCATATGTGTTTGGGGAGCCTGTGGAGCTATTATTAAGGGAAATATAATCCAAAATGAGTAAGCATTAGTGATTTAGGGTGTCATGCAGGACTCTTATGAAACATCATCTTAACCAATAAAAGTTTATGAATAATTGAGTTTTTACACAATAATTTTTTTTTTCTATTACTAAATTAATTTTGACAGAGTAGGTTACAAGAAACACAATTTAGTTTAAAAATAAACATTTGTAATAATATATATTTTCCAATTTTTAAAGAGTTTAAGGAACAATCAAATAATATAGCTTTTAATTGTGATATAATTTATATATAACATTATATTAGTTTGGCATACACAATGTAATGTTTGTCTATACTCTGAAATGATCACCATAAATCCAGTTAACATCCATCGCTGCACATAGTTATAATTTTTTCTTGTGATTATCTTTTATGTATTTATATCACTTTTTTATTTAATAATGGAACCTATAGGGGTGAAAACCTCCCATTTTCATACTTACATTCTTCAAATACGTAATACAGTGTTATTAACTATAGTCACCATACTGTACATTACACCCTCAGTACTTATTTATTTTATAATTGGAATTTTGTACCTTTTGATTACCTATGCCCATTTCAATCAAATAATATAAGTTTTCAATATTTTCCAAGTTTTTTTTTTTTTTTTTTTTTTTGCGTTGTCCTGGGGATATTTGTCAGAACAACCCATTACTGTCCCGAGAGTCCATAAAACTTGACTAAATATACTGAATTTATATTGCTGGTCAGTACCACTGTTACCAGACTCTCTGGATGCTCACCTGCCAGAGGAGTGAAGAGAGATGCGCAGTCACGATTTCAGGTGTCACGAGTGCAGTCCCAGGGAAGAAACGGAGACAGGGTAGGACTGCCTTGACTGAGGACTCTGCCAGCTCTCCTTAGCAAGCTATTCGCCACGCAAGTGAACAGTGGAGCCCACACTGAAACATCTGCTAACTACATGAAACTGTTAAAGGGATTAACAGTGCCAGGGGCTGAAATGGAATCAGGCAGGTGAAATAGTGATAAGATAAATATTCTTGTGTGAAATAGCAGTAATGCTTAATTAATTAATTAATTTTTATTCTAAGGGGTAACTCACTTTAGAGTAGTTGTGCAATATGTTACACTCTTTAAAACATGTCCTTCCACTTTGCAAGGGGTAGAAAAGTAGAGACATGCAAAATGGGACGTTTTTGTGTTCTACGTTAATGTGAAATGTTTTCTGGTATTTTAATGGAATTAATTGCATACAGTTTGGGTGTCATTCTCTCTATGGATAATGCTATAGAAAGATATGTGTAAATTTTCAATTATGGCAACTGAAGTTCAAGTGCTAAGTTCTTGTTTGTAAAGTTTGTCATTCGATCATATGAAAGCAGAGAATAAATTAGGAGTGTTCAAAGTGAAGCTAAAACTGGGATGTTTCTGCCTTTGACCCAGGAAATAAAAAGATCTGTGAAAAATAAATATAGAGGTTTCTGTGTTCTGGTATGCACATTAAACAGAGCTAATGTGTTTTATGGCCCATTCATAAACACATTCCTTAGTTTACTGAATGAATCTGTGATTGCTCTGTGTGTGTGTGTGTGTGCTTGTATTTATGTGTGGATTTTAAATAAATAATTCCAGACCTGTACCTTCACTTAGCCTGCAGGGGCTTGCAATTATTACATTATGCATATTGATTTCTAAATCCAAGTACATTATAAGCTAAGATTCATTTATGAAAGTATTGTCTATAGAATATTCATTCAAGACATAATAATTATCAGAGGCATATTCTGTACTGTTTGCAAGAAATAGAAACCATTTTTCAGTTTAGAATTATAATGTCAAAGACTCTATTAGCCATATTTTTCTTTTATTTTACTCTTGCTTTCTCCCCATTTTCTTAGCCCTACCCAAAAAACTGATATTTGTACCATAGCTAATGTCCTTGTACTCACTACTATTCATTAACAACAATAACAAAAAATCATATGGCCTGGCCAGTGTGGCTAAGTGGATTAAACATCGTCCTGTGCGATAAGAGGTCACCAGTTTGATTCCTGATTATGGCACATGCCTGGGTTGCAGGCTCGATCCCCAGTTGGGGGTGTGCAGGCAGCTGATTGATGTTTCTATCTCTCCCTCTCCCTTCCTCTCTCTCTAAAAAACAAATTTAATAAAACATATTTTTTAAAAATCATATGAACAGATTATGATTATTTTGGTGCTGATATTTCATTTTTCATTTATTTTTAAAAAATTAGAATGACAGATTTATCAAGTAAGTAATTTTTGGATATTTTTAAGCTAGTCAAAATGTTATTATTAGCTTTAAAACATTACATAGGAAATCAATGTAATTTGTCACTTTTCTGGGGTCAACATATTCTATTATTATGTCTTAAATAGATGGAAAAAATTGTAAACATAGATGTAATCTATTATTCTGATTATTGAATATGCACACTCTCAAATATACTTTAACTGAAACTTTTAATAATGTAGAATTAATTAATATACGTAGAGGAAAACTAACTTCCTCAAAGACCTTAGGATATAGAATTATTTATTATTTTTTTTATCCTCACCCAAGGACAATTTGCATTCATCTTCAGATAGAGCAGGAGGGAGAGAGGGTGGAAGAGAGAGAGAGAAACATCGATGTGAGAGAGACACATCAAGAGGTTGCCACACACACCACCCCAACAAGGGCCGAGGACAAACTGTAACCGAGGTACGTGTCCTTAGCGGGAACTGAACCCGGGACTCTCTGATCCGTGGGCCGACACTCCAAATGCTGAGCCAAACTGGCCAGGTCATATAGAATTATTTTTAAGAGGAAGTCTGCTTTGTGGGAAGTCAAGGATTATGGAAATAAGTAAAAGATTATGGAAGCGAGGAAAACCTTTAAGTAAGAAAATTATTTTTTCTTTATCATTCCAGTATCACTCCTCTTGACACTATCTGAAAAATCAATTTAGTGCTTTTATACAAATTATACCCCAAATATTTTACAGATTGCTAGAATTGTGCTAGAAATTGTGGGGGGAATACTGACGAAACACCAAAATATATTCAAATTATAGAATTATAGAATAAACTATTTATATAAAAATGCACAGTTATAACGAGGTAAAGTCTGCCAGAACCTTTGTGTTGTATGACAAGTGAGACCTAAGTAGCCACTAGCACAGGGTATTGACAGAAACAGTGCTTGAGGTAACAAATGCAACTGGAAATATCTTCAGCATAAGCAGAAATAAACTTGCAATATTTCTATCTGATGTCAAAATAACCCATGTGGTTGATGCTTTCTCTTTTTTTCTAATCCTCACCTGAGGACATTTTTCCATTTTTTGTTCAGGTAGAGTGGGAGGAAAGGAGGTGGGGGTGGGGGTGGGGACGGGGGGAGAGAGAGAGAGAGAGAGAGAAACAGAAACAGAAACATCGACGTGAAAGGGACACAGCGACTGGTTGCTACCCACACAACCCAACCAGGGCCGGGGACAAACTACAACCGAGGTACGTGCCCATAGTGGGAACCGAACCCTGGTCTCTCTGGACCACTGGCTGATACTCTAACCGTTGAGCCAAACCAGCCAGGGCGGTTGTTGCTTTCTTGAAAAAATAAGAGGGAATCCTGGCTGGTTTGGCTCAGTGGTTGGAGCGTTGGCCTGTGGACCAGAGAGTCCCTGTGTTCGGTTCCCGCTAAGGACACGTACCAAAAATGAAAAAAAATAGAAAAAAATAAGAGGGAGCCCTGGCTGGTTTGGCTCAGTAGTTAGAGCGTTGGCCCGTGAACCAGTGAGTTGCGGGCTGATTCTGGTCAAGGGCATGTACCTAGGTTGCGGTTTGTCCCCGGCCCTGGTTGGGGTCGTGCAGGAGGCAGCCAGTCAATGTGACTCTATCACATCGATGTTTCTCTCTCTCCCTCCCTCCTTCCCACTCTATCTGATGATAAATAGAAAAGTATCCTCGGGGGAGGAATGAATGAATGAATGAATGAATGAATGAATGAATAAGAGGGACATGGAGAATCAAAAGAGGACCCTACTGTAATTCAGTGCCATCAGGAAGCGGTGGCTGCTTAAAATGAAAGTAATTAAAGTATATATAATGGCCCTGGCCAGTTTTGTTGAGTAGTTAGAGCATTGGCCTGTGGTCCAGAGAGTCCCGGGTTCGATTCCTGCTAACGGCATGTACCTCAGTTGTGGTTTGTCCCCAGCCCAGGTTGGAGTCGTGCGGATGGCAGTCACTCGATGTGTCCCTTTCATGTCAATGTTTCTCTCTCTCTCTCTCTCTCTCTCTCTTCCTCTGTCTCCCTCCCACTCTACCTAAACAAAAGTAGAAAAATGGACAGAGGGGAGAGGATTAAAAAAAAAAGTATATATAATGTTATTTATTTACCTTTTACCATGTCATGAGGAAGTTGAATATCGATGACTGCTATTCTTACTGTTCATAGGAAAATCTGCGACTTTCAAACAAAAGCAGAAACCTAAACGAATCTCATCAATACACTTCGTCTAAGGGACAGAATCTTTATATTTTTATCACTCTGATGGACCGGTCTCTGACTCTTTCTGGGGCTCACCTGAAGAGTTAACGTATCCCTTTCCGGAATGCCTTTCTTCCTTTCGCTCTTACAGAGTGACATTTCACTTTTTAAAGTTCCGAAGCCACGTAACTAAAAAAACAACATCGAATCTTAAACGCGTTTTTCCTCTTTGCTTTCTCTCGCAGGAAGTCGATGGCAATAAAGTTATGTCTTCATTTGCCCCACACAACTCATCTACCTCACCTCAGAAGGCAGACGAAGGTGGGCGGCAGAGTGGCGAGTCCTTGTCGAGCACGGCCCTGGGGACGCCCGAGCGGCGCAAAGGCAGCCTGGCCGACGTGGTTGACACCTTGAAGCAGAGGAAAATGGAAGAGCTCATCAAAAACGAGCCAGAAGGTAAAGGCTGGAAAGGAAAGATTTTGCCGTCTCCCTACTTAATAATTTGATTTGAACCTCTAGTTCTGCTTTATGACTTCTCGCTCGGTTAAATAGAATGACATAGAAACCTCATGCTATGAAGATGGGTACTGTTAAAAAACACACACACACATTTAAATATGGCTAGTGCAGTGGTTTTTAATCATTCTTTTCTGCTGTGATGTCTTCTTTTCACACATGAGTAAGGGGCAGTGGAGTAAAACAGATTTTAGGAGGCACTTTACGGGCCTATTAGGAGAGAGGCTGGAGGTACTAGGTGAACGGGGAGTAGTTCTAGACAGGAGGGACTGCCCGGCTAGTAGGAAGGAAAGAACACTTTGTACCTGCAGTGGTTTCCTCTGCGTTCAAGGTGCTACTGTAGATATATCTCCATTTGGCACAAATGTTGAGTATGTCGTCCATCAAGCAACCCAATCAACATGCATCCATCTCTCTTTTACTACCCTGTGGTCAAGGAGTCTTGATTGCAAAACAGACTGAGTAGTGAATCGCCTATAATAGTGTGCAGGTGATCCTAATAATCAGTTATTATTTATTATTAAATGTGTTGTACGGCTTCAGATTTGTTAATTGAAGCTCTAATACAATATTAAATTAGAACAGCTAATAAAAAATATTTCATTATTTAAAAAAAAGAGAATAGGATGTAGCAACAGAGTCCAAGAGGCCATTTTGCAACGTTTTACATTTTATAACCTTTATATATTAATGCATCTTATACTACTTTGATAATTAGGACTATTTCTTGTATGGTCCACAATTAATATGGCTAGGCCTATTGTATATTTAAAAAGTAGTGATTCTGTAACTCTGTAAGCTAGCTTGAACTTACCATTTATTCAACTTACGGAAGACTGGCTTCTAAGATTTCATCGTCTAAATCTCTTTAATAGTTGCTGATAGTAGCCTTCAGGTGATATGCACATGGAGGAATCTTAAAATGGAAGCAAACAGACTAATAATGCAACTGATGCAAGTCAGATTGTTTCTGCATAACCGACAGCCGTCCTTTGTGTTGCAGACGCTTACTAAATCCTGTTTAAACTATGTCCATCCAAAGCATGGATACCACGTTGCACATGAGAACATACTCCCTATTTCAGAGTCAGGTGGAAAATTAAAACAAACAAACAAAAACAGCGGCATAAAAAGACATACTTTACACCAAAAATATATTGCATTTATACTGAGTAACACTGAGTTAGACTCCTCTCTCCTCTGTTGTTAGAAAACTGGTAAATTGTGATTCTATCTGGCACAATGTATGTTAACCAGTATATTTGGGAGTCGTGGTAATTAAAATGTCTGGGTTCCTACCAGATGTATAGTTGGGACATGGATTTTAGTGAAAATGTATGTATTTCACATGATCTTACAGTTGGAAGGAATTTCAGAGAAAATCTAGTCAATCAGGCTTTTGGCTCTGGTCTGCATGGAGGTAAAAGTGAGGTTTTGAGGAGGACCCAGAATACTTTTCTTTTTTAATACGCTGGAAGTTTTTTTTCTGATATTAAAAATATGTGTCTTATTATAGGAATTGTTTAAATAAAACCAGAAAAATTAAAAGGAAGATAATAAATATCACCCAAAATCATAGATTTTCCCATATTATAGCTCTTAAACTTATGTTGTGTACCTTTATCTATTTTTTTTACATATTCTGTTCATTTTGCATGATTGACTTTCTGTATTTGAAATTATTTTTTATCATTTATGTTGTGATACAGTATTATTAACTAAAGCCCACAGTTTATTCAGGTATCTTTATTTTTACCAAGTGTGCTTTCTCTGTTCTGGGATGCCTTCAAGGATAGCACACTGCATGTAGTTGGCATGTCTCCTTGGGCTCGTTTTGGACTGTCACCATTTCTCAGACTGTTTTTGTTTTGATAACCTTAAAAGTTTTGAGGAATGCTGTTCAGATGTATTGTAGAATGCGCTTCTATTGGAATATGTCTGCTGATTTTTCTCTTAATTAAACTGGGATTATGGTTTTGGGAGAAAGACCATAGAAGTAGAGTACTATTAAAAAGTACATCATATCATGGGTACATACACTCTGCGTGACTTATGACTGTTGATGATGACCCGACCAGCTGGCTGATATGGTGTTTGTCAGGTTTCTGCACTGTAGTGTCTCCCGGCCCCTTTCCCTCCATACCCTGGAAGGGAGGTACTCTGCAGCCCACCTTTCAGGAGTAGGGAGCTTTGCGCCCCCTCTTTAGAGTGGATCATCTACATAATTGGTCTAGAATCCTTCTCCATGGGAAACTTACCACTTCTCCACCGTTTACTGATTTTACTCAATTATTTATTTATGTAAATATCAACGTGTGGAGAGTTACTGTATACCTTGAGTTGTAATCCAATTCTTATTCAACTCGTTGCTCAAATTGCTCAGCTTTGACCATTAGAAACACTTTCCCTTGACTTTTGTGTCACTTTGACATATAGCTATGATTGTGGGCATTTTTTTTTTTATTACTACTTTCTGGCAATATAAGCTATGATACTGCAAACTTATCTTGTGCCTTCTCTGTTCTAGGTGTATAGGTTTTCATGTATCCATCTGATTTTGATATTAAGATAATACTGGCTTCATAGGAAGTATTTCTCTCACATGTAACATTTTAATTTTTGTTTCAGATGTGTTTCTAGTCCAGGGCTAAGGCCTAGGAAGAAGCAGCAGTGCTGTGGAATGTATTGTATTATAAAGCTGTTTTGGGGGATTTATTGTTAGATAACGTCCTACATGGAGAGTTGGTATATGACTTTAGTATTCCTCCGGTGTGTTATGTTGGCCTCTGTACAAGTGGATGCACAGACTCTTACTTTGGAAGTATATAAGATGGCCAAGGCAATGAATCATTCATAACAGGACAGAGGGCAGGAGACAGTGCCCCCCAGTGTGCTTAGGAGGACATATTCAGAGGTATTGGGAATTGGGAGAAAAGGATAATATCCAATAATAGCCACACAGGCCAAAGAGGAGAGAACATCTGCAGAAGGAAGAGATGACATGAACGGAGGGACATCATGTGTCATGTGGACCTTAGACTGTTCTCATGATTGTGTTTCCCACGACATTTTTTTTTTTTATCTTCCCCCTACAAGTATAAACTCAGCTGGAGAGTAACTTGTTATTGAATAATATAAAGATATTGAGAAAATACAGAGTTAGTCTTGATGGAAAACTGGAGTATAAATCAAACATGGCAAACATCGAAAAGCCTGAGTCCAGACAGATAATTTCTGTATAAATATAAAACCACTAGGATACATTTCATATGTACACAAGATTCTTAGTTGTACACTGAACACACAAAAGTGTAAATGGACTCAGCTTATTGATAAAAATATTTACCATAGCAAGAAGGTTTATTTAATAACTGTGACAATTGGGAGATTTATCAAGGAGCAACTTTTATATGTGAGTAAAGCAATGATCTTTATCACCAAGGAAAGTATGGTAGCAAAGCAGAAGTCGTTCCCTAGAAAAGGAATAAGAGGATGAAGAAAATCTCCAATTTCTTCTTTTACTGCAAAGAGAGAAACATGAGGAAACATATCTAAAAAAATATGTGAAAATCTCAACATTAAGTGGAAAGTTGCTCTGGCTTTAAAGAGACCATCAATCAAAGTGTCTGGTTGGACGTGAGAATGGACCAAAGCCTGACATCATTCCAGCCTCGAACCGGACACCGTGTGCGGTACAGACATACGAGCTGGGGCTCGTGAGGGCCCGTAGCATCAAAAGAGGAAAATACTTAGGAATACATTTAACAAAAGAACTGCAAAATGTATATCCACAGAACTGGGAAACGTTATAGCTCTTTGATGAGAGCGCAGTGTGGGGACGAGGGGAGCAGAGACTGAGGGGAACTCAATGTTAAGCTCGCTAATAGATGCCACAGAAAAATCTTTTCTTCCCTCAAGCTATATTTTCCATTGTTTTTCAAAGGCCATTAAAATGAACAGCAGGTTGTGATGAAAATTTCATTAAGTCATTAAGGCCCAGCTAAATCATTATGAGGGTGCTATATTCATGCCTTTGCTCCCTCTCATTGAGCGGGAGAAACAGATTTCAATAGAAAGTCCGTAGTATGTCCGACCTTATTCCTGCCAACAGCAAACTAACAGAAATTCTGTAGTTATAGGAGAATGGTGTGTCATACAAAAGGAGGCCACTGAGGTGAAATGGTTAGAAAGAAAATTAGATTTACAGATGGGTTGAAAAACAAATGGCTCTCTTATTCCAGTGAGCTTGTTTTTACAATCAGTTAATCAAAATATTTTAAAAGTTGTAAGAAGGGAGAATATATGTTGATGTATTTTTGTTTGTGTCTTTTTTCTCCATCTGAATTTTTGCTTGGCAGTACTCAAAACGGTCTGGTGCTAAAGATTCTTTGTCCAGTGATTACTTAACTGACATGGAATGTGCCCAAGTTCATAGTAAATTCAAAGTTCAAAATATCTGGCTGCTATAATATAGTTACATCATATTTGGTAGTAGCTATGCTATATCAGTTGATTTTTAAATATTAGACCTGGCAGTTAAAAATGACAATGAGTTTTAATACTATGTGACACTTAATTCCTATATCAAATATTGAATAAATAATTATGTGTTGGGGGAAAAGGTAGCATATATTCAGTGCTTAAAATGTTTTAACTATAGTGTTAAGTAATTTATATGAAGCACTTTATTTAATCTTTACAGAAGCCGAGTAACAAGGGCTACTAAGTAAAGTTATTCCATTTTCGGGAAGTGCCTTCGCATGAGCTAAATATTCTGATTCTTATTATCTCCATTTTCAGATGAGGAAACTAATGATTAAATATGTCACAGGGTGACTGTCAGGGTCATTATTCAAAATGAAGTCAACCCTAAGCTAGAATCCATGCCCTTAATCACTAGTTACACTATTTCTTCCACTTAGGAATTTTGCCAGTAATAG